CCCCCCCCCCCCCCCCCCCCCCCAAAAAAAAAAAAAAAAAAAAAAAAAAATTTTTTTTTTTTGATTCCACGCAATATAAATTAAAAAAAAAAGTTTTTTAGTTACAAATAAAGTAAAAACCTTTCGCCACTAAAAAATTTGATCGTTCAAAAAAGAAGTAGCAGCTTCTATCAATTTTCTAGAATTTGAGGAAGAATTATAAGTCATGCGAAAAGTATCTCCAGTCCTCAAAAGCGTTGATGGAAAAACCTCGTAATCGACAATGCCAGAATCACTCGGCGATGGCGTAATGTGTATTCCTGAGCTGTGGCGACTACCTGATGACGCGTTCGAGCCGTACACTTGGTGCGACGACTGCGACTTCTGCAACGCAAAACTAGTTCATGAGTTCCTCAGCATCTGGATGATGGATAACCGTACTCTCCAAAAAATTGTACAGAATGTGATTAACAACAAAAACAACTGCTAAAGGTGGTTGAGCTGCTGTATGCTGCTGGACCCCAAAAATTCATTATTATTGTTCAGCAGCTGGTTCCACACTGCATGCGGTAGAAAATATGCGCCTACGCAAACAATACTCCGTTCCGTGGTAGAAGCAGCTATGAGTCCCGCCCCTCAAAAAAGGTGACTATGAGCCGCAGGAACATTCCAGTGAGGTGAATTTGGAAAAATAATCAAAATTCAATCAAAGGGATGTTAAATTTAAAGGAAAATCAAATCAGGCATAAAATTATCTGCAAAAATGAAAAAAACAAGTGAAACTACGCAGCTTAAAAATAGGAAGTGTACAACAAAAGATAATTCTGAATTAAATCAGCAATGTGCGATTAGTTTGAAAAAAATCTCAAAAAGCTTTCCAGGGAGGTGCAATAACGAACAAAGCAGACCTTGACGATGTTCTGCGGCGACTGCGTAGCTGATATGCCAAATGTCGTGCCACAGTTGTGCTGCTGGATTTTGTTACGATTATTATTACTGCTGTTATTGTTGTTAGTAGCCAGTGAAGCAGGTGGCGGCGGCGGTGCTGGATTGCGATGACATCCTGTCGAGTAGTGCACCAACGAATAGTTCTCGCTGCTTGTCGAATCCACTGCAAACCAAATCAACAATTTACCGACTAGCATCCGAGACTTTTACTACGAGAACATTGAGCAACAACATTTCCACGAAAATCCGAAACGCATCAGCACACAGTGTTCACGATCTGTAGTGAAAGACATTCTATCAATATCCGTACGCCATATGTCCATTAAATAGCTTTGACCTCATTCACCCCTCGTTGTTTCCTGCCACTAGAAATTGGATGAAACAATTAAAGGGCGAATGAGGCCACAGCTATTTAAGGGATACGTTTGTTGAAAAGGGTACAATATCAAAATGAAAATGACTGAAGATATTTTTTATTGAATGATATGGCGTAAAAGTCTGAAACTATATCGCCCATATCTAAAATTTTTCCAAAGAATTTGATTATTTTTTCATTTTTCAACAATAATGCCAAGACCCCGATTGACCGAACAAAAAGTGTGGGTATCCCATGCTAGGCTGCTCCAACACGCCGGATGCAGCTGTGTCAAGTCTTTTTTCAGAAATTTGTTAAAAACAATCAGAATTCTAGAGTGAGGTGGGAATTTAATGAAAAAATGCCAGCTAATGTGCTAACATAATTTATTCAGCAAAATTTTCTTTAGCAGAAGCTTCCCCACGATGATTCTCATTGTCTGAAGAGCAGCTGTTCGGCTTTTTCGTCAATCCTTTCTTTGTGCCACATTTATGACGGCAATTTTGCCCATTCTCTTATGGATTTATTTGTTTTCATTTACTTTTTTGCAAAGATACCCTGGTACTAGTCGTGCAGCAGCATCGGCCGAGAGATGAAAACTATCGTTCCGCCTAGGCTGTGGCCCATAGGCGGCCATATAAGTGGAGCTGCCTGTTTTGAACTTCGTTTTTACGCAAATTTCGGCAACGCTTTCATCCGCGTCACACCCAACAACAGCCAATATCCAGACAAATTTATCTTTCGTTAGTGAGTTATGTGTGTCTGGTTGTGCTGTTATAAAACCTCACGACAATACCTCCTTTACACTTGCCAAAATGATTTACACATCGGTTGTATCTCATCCACGAAATTGTATGGGAAAAACTACAGCTTTCCAAAATTCTGATGACTCTGCATGTCGGAGTACAGAACATTGATAGCGATACGCATCAAAAATGAGAAAAGAACCCAGGCTGGAATGCACTAGGCGGGTCTGTGCGATCATGCGTTTTTGCACAGAACTTGAAGTACTCAGGTTATTAACTGCATGAATAATGGTTGTTGCTTTACACCTACCTTTTGCGATCACTTGCATAAATTACCATAAATTTTGCATAAAACAATTTCCATTTAACGATCGTTCTTTAAAAGTAACTAGTTTCTCAGCCAGATATTCAGTCAAAATTCTAGGTCCATTTAACGATCATTCTTTAAAAGTAACCTAGTTGCTCAGCCAGATATTCAATCAAAATTTTAAGTGCGTACATAAGAACCACGCGTATCTCAAGGCTGAATTTGAAATACTCAAGTTGTACTTGGAGAGGGAGCATCCCCCTAAAGTTTCAAGCTTCCACCTCAAGGCTGAATTTGAAATACTTAAGTTGTACTTGGAGAGGGAACATCCCCCTAAAGTTTCACGCTGAATTTGGAATACTTAAATTGTACTTGGAGAGGGAACATCCCCCCTAAAGTTTCAACCTTCTGTATACTTAAGTTGTACTTGGAGAGTGAACATCCCCCCTAAAGTTTCAACCTTCTGCCTTTTTTAGTTGCCGAGTTAGTAATCCGCAGAAACTTTCTTAAGTCCTTACGTAATTACCACGCATAGCTTGGGGCTGAATTTGAAATATGTGAGTTGTACTTGGACAGGGAATAATCTCCCAGAT